TATTGGAAAATGATGTATAGCCACAATTATCAAATTTTGATGTTATAAATTGCGATATCTCCAAAAGTTACAGTTACAGCCTAAAACGTTATATGCCATTAGATTCGTCAAACGATTCTGCACTAGAATATGTATAGACATTCTAGATATATGTATACATATTTAGTCTAAACGCGAGTATACAAGTTGCTATTGGAAAATGATGTATAGCCACAATAATTAAATTTTGATGTTATAAATTGCGATATCTCCAAAAGTTACAGTCACAGACTGAAACTTTATATGCCATTAGATTCGCCTAACGATTCTGCACTAGAATATGTATAGACATTCTAGATATATGTATAAATGTTCAGTCTAGACGCGAATATACAAGTTTTTTTATTGGAAAATGTTGTATAGCTACAATAATCAAATTTTGACTTTATAAACCGCGATATTTTTAAACGTTACAGTCACAGACTAAACATGTACATGCCATTAAATTCGGTAGACGATTGTGAACTAGAATATGTATAGACATTTTAGATATATGTATAAATGTCTAGACAAGACGCGAATATACAAGTTTTTTTATTGGAAAATGATGTATAGTTACAATAATCGAATTTTGACTATATAAACCGCGATATCTTAAAAAGTTACAGTCACAGAGTTAAAATCTATAAGCCATTAAATTTTTTAGACAATTTCGCATTAGACCTTGTATAGACATTGTAGATATATATATATATGTTTAGTCTAAACGCGAATATACAAGTTTCTATTGGAAAATGATGTATAGCCAGAATTATCAGATTTTGACTATATAAACAGCGATATCTCAAAAAGTTACAGTCAAAGACTATAAATTTATATGCCATTAGATTCGTCATACGATTTCGCACTAGAATATGTATAGACATTTTGGATATATGTATAAATGTTTAGTCTAGACGACAATATAAAAGTTTATTTATTGAAAAATAATGTATAGCTACAATAATCGAATTTTGACTATATAAACCGCGATATCTCCAAAAGTTACAGTCACAGACTAAAAATTTATTCGCCATTAGATTCGTCAGACGATTTCGCACTAAAATATGTATAGACATTCTGCACCAGAATATGTATAGAAATTTTAGATATATGTATATATGTTCAGTCTTTACGCGATTATACAAGTTTTTTTTATTGATAAATTATGTATAGCTACAATAATCGAATTTTGACTATATAAACCGCAATATCTCTAAAAGTTACAGTCACAGACTAAAAATTTATTCGCCATTTGATTCGTCAGACGATTTCGCACTAAAATATGTATAGACATTCTGCACTAGAATATGTATATAAATTTTAGATATGTATAAATGTTAAGTCTAGACGCGAATATACCAGTATATATTGGAAAATGATGTATAGCTACAATAATCAAATTTTGAACTATATAAACCGCGATATCTTCAAAAGTTACAGTCACATATTAAAAATTTATATGCCATTAGATTCGTCAGACGATTTCGCACTAGAATATGTATACACATTATAGATATATGTATAAATGTTCAGTCTAAACGCAAATGTACGAATTTATATTGGAAGATGATTTATAGCTATAATAATCAAATTTTGTCGTTATAAACCGCAAAATCTCCAAGACATACAGTCACAGACTGAAACGTTATATGCCATTAGATTCGACAGACGATTCTGCACTAAAACATGTATAGACATTTTAGATATATTTATAAATGTTNTTTTTAAAAAAAAGCGCTTGACAAACTTGCCCCGCATACCGAAGTTGCCCCGGTCTCCCCTAATTGGAGCTGTCATACATATAAATTTGTGAAACGAGCAGTTGAACAATGGAACATAGAGGAAAATATTTCTGACGTTCTTCAGGTATTATCTTTCAAAGGCATCAAAGTTGCATTCTTCAAAACTAACAACATAGGATCATTACTAAAAAGTTATTTTATAATTGTTTTAAAACTGAAATATGAAATTTGAGAAATGTGGAGTTTTAAATTCAGTATTAATAATATATGGTCTGAAGTGAAACGTAAAAAAACAAATTTTTATAACTTTTCATTACAAAAAAACATAAGCTGTTTTACATAATAATGTAAAGAAACATGTTAAATTTAAGGTAATTAAACGAAAAAACAGTAAGAACTCCTAATGTTAAAAATTTATATTAAATTAATATCCATACATATTATCGGAGAAATTGTAAATTGCAAGTATTGATATTTAGTGATTAAATACGACGAAATCACAATCAAATATAAATCCTGTCACTGTGCATTCTTACATAAAAATAACTCTATCTTCAGTTTTATAAATTTCTGTACATTTAATATAACTCTGCATAATATATATTTTTACTTTAATATGTTTCATTCACTGTTACTTTATACAAAGTCGCTTTTCCAGATGAACTCTGTTAAACGTATACTGAATTATACCAAATTGAAATCAGAAGCATTATACGAAAGTTCTCTCGATAAACAGCCACCATCAGATTGGCCACAAAAAGGAGAAATTCATTTTGATAATGTTTCTTTACAATATTCGAAGGATAAAAATACTGTTTTAAAGAACTTAACATTTCGTATTTACTCTGGAGAAAAGGTAAAATATTTACAAAATATAATATTTGTTGCTAATAATTACTGCCAAAAACGATTTGTATTATTTATGAGTTGCAGATAGGAATTGTCGGCAGAACAGGAGCAGGAAAAAGTTCTATAATTGCTTCATTATTTCGCATGACAGAGCCGACAGGGACAATAACCATCGATGGAGTTGACGTTAAAAATATCGGACTTCGGGATCTACGTAGCAAAATATCTATCATTCCTCAAGTATGTAACAATACATTTATTAAATATAATTTCTTATTTAACAATTTTCAAATTTATTTTCTGTAAAACATGTCTTTTCCTTCTTTTATAAAAATGTAATTTTTTCAACATTATAAAACAGAATTCCGAGATAGAATTTGAATAAATACAAGAAATTTTTCAGGAGATGGTCCATCCCAAATATGACAGGCTTGTCCCTTCCCATTATAGGCTTGGCAGCAACTATAATTGACTATATAAAAATGCCCACTGGAAAGAATGATTTCTATCAGTCTAGTGATTATAGAATGTCGATATAACAAAGAACAATAAATAATTTATTTATTTAAGAATCTTTTGATATGAAGGGGAAGTTGACACTGCTGATTTTCGGAGAAGGTTGAAGTTTAAGACTTTAGGTAGGCCTTGATTTCAAAGGTTTAAGGCTTTAGGTAGGTTCACAAAAATATTTTAAGGGTTTTCTGTTTCAAATTAATTCAGATTGGAGATTCGAAAATGCAGAATTTCTTTTATGCCATTGCTATGAAAACGTCAAGTGCTATTGTAATTGGACATTACATGTTGGTCGATTTCTTCTGCTGTTTTTCGGTATAAATAATGAACTTTGGGAACAATGGCATGCAAATGTTTTTTTCATCATTATAATGTAGTTATATGGAATACAAATGCTGATTAGTTTAGCACGAGATATTGATTTTATTGATATGGATTCTGGTATAAACGAAATTTTTATATAATATAACTTTTGGTTTATACAAGAAGTTATAAATATGATATTATATTTTCAATGGAAATTCTTGTNCCATTCTTCGTCAGAATAAAATTCTTGTCATGGACGAAGCAACATCCAATATTGATAAAAGGTTAGAATATATAAACTATAAAAATTTATCTAATTTGAAATAAAAATTATTTTGATTTATGATTTGGGATACGCAGAAAATTATATCTTATTTCGAAATTGTAAGATATATGTAATATATTTTAAATATATGTGCTAATCATTTTCTGTTTCTGTTTTTAACTTATAGATTGAATATTATTCAATTAACTGTTAGTTTGTTTTATTCGCAATTGTTTCCAGATTCAGTTATAGATCACGAAAACTTAGTTCAAGTTAGGCATTAACAGTTCTCAACCATATAATAATACGGTATTTTCTGTGGAAATTGGCCATAAATTAGGCTAACAGATAAATATGGTGCATAAGATAGTCATGACGAGTAGATTGATATTAAGCCCATGTTCAAAGGACTAATCTACTGAGTGGTTGAAACTTCAATCTACTACACTAAGAATCTTTAATCGAAACTGAACGACCACCAGAAATATTTTATGGGCAGTATATTGGGACCAAAATATGTTAGACTAAGTTTCTCACCAATTCGTCGTCCTCATTGTGGGTCTGCTCGAATTAACTATGAGCATGAAAAAGACACTCTTGGCGTCTTTTGCTAAAGAGCACCAAACTTAAAAACTTGTTTCCAAATTTATAATCGATTTTATGTATGATATTGAACATATTTGTAAATAAGTGATCTTTTTATGTTACATTGGTGTTTTGTTGTGTAAACTATTCAATGTATATACAATGGTATACTAAAAGACTCTGATGTCTTTGTTATTTTTATATACTTCGTGATTCATATTATTTAGACATACGCTATTTGGAGAACAATGAATATGATCACATCCTCCATAATAACTGTGTAATAGAAAGAAAGAAACTAGTATGAAAATTGAATGGTTATGTTATTTCTCTGAAAAGAAGTGCAAAAAATTTACCTGTCATTAACGTATCTGTATTCATAACTTTTATCATCTCTGTTGAATCTATAATCTATAGACACCATCTAATCTTACAATTCATTATGTGGGATATTGCTGAATTACTTATGAAATTAATAATTTTATAAGTAATTCATCAACCTGGAAAATATATTGTATTAAAATTTAAACTTTTTCGGATAAACAAAAATTATGCAGAAATTTTTATATTTAAGTTTTAACCAACTTCTTGACACTGATATCACTTTTTAATCATATCTACCGTTGATTTGTCCAGACGGAAACGGAAATCTTGGTGCTTGGCATGTTTGGATCAAATTATGCATTAAATTTTTCTGGGATAGTTGTTTGTGTGGATTTAATATTCGAGTCTTCGAGGTGATTTAAGAATTATCTGTAATCAACTGGGAAATCTGAACTTCAATACAGTAATTGAAGCTCAGCGAGCCATGCAAGGTCTTTTCTTGTGTGAAGCGCAGATTTTCGGATTAAACATCTAAATTTTCGGTTAATTAACTTCGGAAAAAACCCGAGGAATTTAAACTATATCGAATTTCACCGAGTTTGTAACAATGAGCTGAGGAAGTTTACAGTTAAGTGTGAAGAGTGCACCGTCATCGTCAACAAGAGGCGATGACGTGTCCGCTCTCGCACGAAAAGATATAAAAGGGGAGATCACCGGAAGCTCGGGGCGATTCGTCATAGGAAGTTGTACTTTGTGATAGTGCCCACTTCGACTCCCGAACCTCCATACAGCGGACTTGATCCAGCTACAGAGAGAGGATGTTGGAGAAGACACCACACCCTTCCATACAGAGTTGACGACGTTCGCCAACTCTCTCTTCCACCTAAAGGTATTTAGGGGTAGATTTTATAAAAGCGCTCTCTCTTTGAACTAGAAACTAGGGCAGCGACCTAGCTAAGAACATAATCGCCAATTTCTGTACATACTTTAAGATAATCGCATTTAGCTTTAGTAGTTTTGTAATTTAGTTTTGTTAGTTAATAAATGCTTGTTATTTCTGTTGACCTGTCTCCTCTCTAACGGCACCTGCCAGCTTACCAACGCACTCCCCACTCGATTTGCCCTCCTACCGCCATCCGACGACGCCGAGATCAGGCTTCACGAGCCCGTGCAGAGTAAGTGGTCATTGTGGGATTAACCGTGACCCGCTGCTTGTCTCACACTTGGCAATGACTCAAATTCAGAAATCACTGAAATTTTTCACAATAATAGAAGTAATACAATGACGAATCACGATAATTACCATCGTGCAAGAATAAAAACTGATTGGTTTATCTGGTTTTGAGGAGATTCTTTATTTTTCGTTTTAATCAGAAGTAGATTACTTTCTTTCAGCAGATGGAATATGTAGATCCAACTAAATTTGCGTTTATCCGTATCATATAATGTTAGTATGTCTGCGAATGTAGAAAACGCAACAAATAACAACAGAAATCTATATATTTCTATACAGTTTTACAACAGAGTTCTGTCATAATCGCGTACAATCTTTTCCTCAAGGCTTGAGAGAATAAGAATAATTATATATGTCTTCGTTTTCTTTGTTCGAGGTGCGATATTGATTTTGTAGTTTTTTTACACTGCAATCACAACATTCTCTATGCTCCTGTCAGTAGCAGAGTGGTTAAAATTAATAAACAGTAGTATTTAATTGAAGTATTTGTGCTTCACCAATTATGAATTTTTACTTTGTATTCTCCACACGTCTAACACCAGTTTTCCATCGAATGTAATTTTAAGGAGTAACTTTTGGGCTAATCACAAATCTATTCAAGTAGTTTAATACAGTTCAACCGATTTTGAATTCTGTGTGAAAGGTTGTACAAAAAAATTTCTTGCAGCAAGTATGCATTATGCATATGATACGAATATTTCATTTGCATAAGAAGTACTTGTTAGATATATTTTAAAATAATTTGTTCATCTTATTTGAGTATTTCGAATAATAAGTATTTTTCATACTTATACTAATATTTAAAAGCATAACACATATTTTATTTATTTAATACTTAGCACTGATTCCTGCATACAAAAAATAATTCGAGAAAAATTCAAATCTTGTACAGTGTTGACAATAGCCCATAGATTACATACGATTATTGATTCGGATAAAGTTCTGGTAAGATTTTATTGCTTATAATATAAAGCTAATATGTATTTTAATTACATATTTTAACTTTTTAGGTTCTAGATACAGGGAAATTACAACAATTTGACACACCATACGCACTACTGAAAAATGTGAATGGAACTTTTTATAATTTGGTGAAGAACACAGGAGTAACTTCCATGAACGAGCTATACAAAATTGCTAAAAATAAATATTATTTTAAAGAATTCACCGAAAGAACAAAATTATAAAACAGTGGATCTTCTTTGATTCATGTGTACTTTTTGTTGAATTCGTGTTCTGTATTTTATTTAATATTCTGTACTCAGAAACAAGTGGTATTTGCATCTGTGACGTAGAACATGGATTTTTTAAAATCTAAAACATTGGATAGCATTTGTTCTGCTGTTAAATTTATATACATGAAATGTAATAAGAAGATTTAATGTTTCTAACAAATAGGTTTTAAAAGAAAACTATTGTTAAATGATTTATTTCCCGAATAAAACACGAAATTTCAAAGAATTTAAGAATGGAAAATTGCGTTATTGCAATATTTAAAAAAAATTTGTTCACAAATTTCATCATAAACACTTAAATGAAGAGCATACTTTTAGTACTAAATATGTATTGTGTAGAAACAAATTTTATGGTAATCAGGATAAATAAAATATCTTATATATTTGAATTTTTATTTTCTTTATTTCTGTAACTTGAAATCTGTCGCCATCAGGGCATGCCGTGACATTTGATAATAGGAAAGCTGTGTTTCTGTACGAAGCTGACTGAGGGCAATCAGTTAATTGCGCANGCGCTCGCATCTGAGTTGCACGTGCATATTGCGTTTACCACCAAATTTTAAGTTTTGCAACCGATAGTTAATCCTGTGCAACATTTTAATTTTACTGGAGGCCAAGGTTATAGGCGATGCTGCTGCAAAACTCGTTGCAAATCTAATAAATGCAAGTGCTACAAAAAAAAATTGTAATTCCAAACGTGTCAAAATCTTAATCGCTCGAATCAATAAACTAAAAGGCATTTAATTTTTTTATATAATTTATACCAAAAATAAAATTCCAGAAGTTTCCTGTAAGTTTATTTTTCGTTAATATTAATTTAATTAGTAAAAGTTTACCTATGTACACCACCAATCACGATTGTTTGTGCTCCTGACAGACTCCTCTCGGAGGGGAGCTGCCAGCAGGCCTCCGATTCTTTAATGTCACTAGTTATTGATATGTGTGTTGAAGAACTACCATGAAGCAATAACTAGTGACGTTAAACAATCAGCGGCCTGCTGGCAGCTCCCCTCCGGGAGGAGTCCGTCAAAAGCACTAATAGTTGAGACCACCGCCATCACGGTGCACATAGGTAAAATTTTACCGTTTAATTAATGTAGTTAATAGTACTTAGTTTTGAAAGATTACGTGTTCTTTATAAAATAGTTTGAAATAATTCATAAAAAATAAATATTTCTAAATGAAATAAGTAAAGTTTTTTAATCAAATTTAAATTTTGAACAAGATTAACTATAGGTCGCATATATTTAAAATTCAGTACTAAACGGAATACGCACGCGCAACTCAGATGTTGTGCTGATTGGCTAGCGTATGTTGCATGATCACTCGTCAACATATTATTATTACTTTGGAGACTAGGTGATAGCACTATTCATAATGACCGGTCAATTTGATAAATTAATAAATATTTATCAGACTGCGTGCCCTATTAATCACTTGGTCCATAACTTATATATCAGTTACATTAAAAATTCCGTTAGTTTATTAGTCTATATAAATAACTAGCTTTTGCCCGCGGCTTCGCTCGTGTTAAGAAGTATTTTTATTAATTAGGTATAGTTTTTGCGGCTTTACTTTTGTTTAGCGTGTGTAAAAAAATAGGGCCTACAAAACTTCTTTGTACACAATATTCTTAACTAATCTGTCATTAGGCGCTAAAACTATCAAGCTATTGGGTGAACTTACTCGTGAGCAAGCAACATAAAACTCCATCGCTGTATCTTGTGTTCCGTACATTAAATAAGAGAGAGCACGAAACAAACATGCACCGTCACCAACAATAGGGACGACAGTACATTCTTCAACTTCTCCATTAACGTTCAGATTTTCTTTAGCCATTTTAAAAAAGTCTAACCGACAAAACCTATACTTAAACCAAACGAAAACAAAACAAATGCCAAATACAAAGCAGAGTCTATAACCAAAACTACTAAACCGAAACAAAGCAAATGCAATCCAAAATATGCCAAGAAAAGAACAGCCAAAATCGTCAAATATAATCCGCTAGAAATATTTAGGTATAGTATGTACTATTAGATACGGCGGCCACTCATCATCGGGTATATGTAACTCAGT